TAGTAGAAACTATTTTACATAAAGTCTTTTGTAGTTAGTTATTAGTATTCAGTTTGTCATTCATTAAATTATAATAAACTAAAAATATTTAAAATAATAATAAAATGGAAAAGATTAATTTATTAACTTTGATAATCATAGCATTATTATAACTAAACAATATTTGATATTTTATATATCTCATACTTTACAATCAAATTGTATCTATTTTGACAAAAGGACAAATTCGTTTTATCAAACTGTTAGTAATCGTTTTGGTTACTAAAATTGATTTATTTTGGATTCAAAACGAGATATAACTTTCTCAAATATAAACTTGTGGACTTTGTGAATCTGGTTGATTTAATAAAAATATTATAAGTATAAAATTAACTAAAAAAATAAGTAAAAAACTTATTGTTGATTTTTTATAATTGTTATTTATTTTTGAATAATAAACCGGTTTTCTTATTTAAAACTGTTTTTGTTTTTTTACCACTTTTAATAGTATAAATTATTAAATTATTTTTAAATAATAAAGTGTATATTTAGTAGTACGGTTTACCAGTAAAGTCACCTTGTGGGTTTTAAAGGAAACAATGCGACTCATTGGAGGAGTTTTAATATCAAAAAGCGCACGGAAACGTTACAAATCTAAACGGACGCTTTTTTGTGAAAATGTGTTGAGTGAAAATGTGACTCTTCCAACAACACAAGTCGTCTTTATCTGCAATTTCGCATTTTCAAATTTGACACTCGAAAAGACAGCAAGTGGGTGTTCACACCATTTGGCAATTTTGGTGCAAGTACAACATCATTAATTGGATTTGACGACAACGACATTCTGTTTTTGGTAGTCCGAAGGATCTAATTGTCTCGTACAACGGAATTAAAGTAGCTTGTGAATTTCTCGAAGAGTTGCGATTTGTGTTAGAAACTTCTTTAATTAGTTGTGAGTGCATTTCAATGGAAAGTACAGTTAAAAGGACTGCAAGAAGGCTGGGGAGGTAGAGAGGCACCACATGTTAATTTTGGAAAGGAATGTTGTGTACAATCGAATTGCCGATTTCAATGAAGTCATCTTCAACAATAAAGTAATACTCACAGAAAATGTTGAATGCGAAGTGTGTAAAATTGAATTTTTAAATTTATTATTAAATTTTATTTAATTTGAGATGAAATGATGTTGCGGATAACAGTGAAGTGACACTACATGGATCTTTGACAACAAAAAATTATCACTGTGAGTGACTATTTTCTTATTTTTTACTTACAACATTTTGAATATTGAGAAGCTCATTTTAAACGCAAATTCGAGAGTTTCTGGAAATTCAATGAAAATCGTGGAGCTTCAAAATATGAAGGCAAATACATTACGAAACAACTTTGATATATTGGCATTAAAAATGTGTTAAACGAGGCGTTGTCGTTAAGCACGAAGAACGACATTTATATTGGATTGAGTGAATGAGAACACAATATCAATTTGATACCAATTCTATTATATTAAGTAACAAAATTGTCAAATTGGGAGACGTCTTTGTGACACAAGAAATAAATGCAGATAACATGAGTCAACTTTCTGTAGTGTCAATATTTAAAATACCAAGCGAGTTCTTATTACAATCACAACCAACATAAAAAATGTTATAATTACCATTATAAATTTTTTGTCTTAGAAATTTTTTTAATAAGCTTGACGTAAAATTATTTTACCATGAAAATTTTCATTTTGGTATAAAAGTATAAATTTTACCTTGGTGGATCTTTTAGATCCAGCCGTTTTTTCTGCACCTTTTTTCAAGTAATACGTTTTTGGTTTTTTATTTAGTCTATAAACTAATAATGAAATCAAAAATGTATTTTGTCATTTAATGTATTTTGTAAAGCAAAAAAGATTGTTGTGTATAATTTTTGAATTTTCTAACAAACAACAACAAATATAAATAAACACATTAGTTTATATATAATCATTAGACAAACAAAAAATCAATTTAAAGCCAATTTACACAATATTTAAATTTGTATGTATCATATAATCATATGATATAACCAGTATTTTAAAAAACTTGAAGTTTTTGTTTTTAAATTATCTTGTATGTATTAACGTCGTTGTCTATCAACGATGTTAATAGACATCGTTTTTTTGTTGAATTTGCAATTAATAGTTAATTAAGAGTTAGAAATATTTTCATTTCTTTCTGATATTGATAGAATTAATTTTTTAATACAGTTATCGTGTT